GTTCGAGGGTGAGTTTCTCTCCCCCGGACTACGGCAGCCCCTACCCCGCTGCTACCGCTGCTTTTGAACCCAAATTGATTGGACTGTGAATCGTCCGGTTTGAATTATTCATACTTATCCGTCGATAAACCAATTTCTGTAGCGGACAAATCGAGGAGGAAAAGATCGGGTCGTCGCAACGTGCGACGCACGGACGACCGACGTCGAGGAAAGAGCAGAATACGATGAATGTCAACGACGGACCAACGAAAAAGAGAAGTTTTAACCCCTTGTTTCGTAACGTCCGAACGCGTTCAAATAAATGGCACTTTTGGAATAATGAAATTTTCATCGAAACACCGACCGATCGCGGAGGAAACCGAAAAGAAAAGAAGGCAAAGTTTCGCGAGAACTAGGATCATCGAACGATCCGCGCCGCCATTTAATTTTATCATTCGATTCAACGATGCGGAAGATGCCTTCGAGAAGAAAAATAGACCGCTTTTCACGGCTACTCTTATAGCTTTGTCGTTGTCACGATGACTCGAAGCCTCATAGAAAAATGAACGACGTTAACGCCGACTCGTTAAACCCCTTTTCTTCGTTCCCTGGTTATCGACGCTTCGTTGCGCGTCTCGCCGCCTTCTAGACGGAGACCTTTTAATTTGTAGGTTAAGGACACGCGAATAATTAGGCACGAGCCATCGCTCTCGATCTAATTACTCACGGTTCCGATAAAACGAGCTCCATGCGGCGGTAATAGAATCGAGAGGACAAGCTCGAAACGGACGAGGAAATCACATTAACGCGTCGAAACCGTTCGAAAGTTCGCTTCGCAGCGACGCGATGGTTAGACGAGACGATATCGATACAACTTCTTTCGACTACCCGTTCCCCATCCGTCGAGTCCTGATATTAAAAAAGAATGCCTCGAGACCAGTCGAGAATAAAATCGCCAACTAATCGCGTCCCAATCCAATCGGAGAAGAGACGAATCGTTCGGAAATGACGCGAAAGCAATTCCATCCAAGTTTTCGCCAAGGCAATCGCCTACGCCGAGTCAACACCGACGATAAGAGGACACTTTTGCTCGTACACTCGAACGAAGAAAACCGCTTCCTCTCCCCGATACAGCCTCCCGCTTTTGACCTTTTGCTTTTTCCCCGGGATCGAGTACAGCAGAAGGGGGGATCTCGACTCGACAAAAGATTCATGAACCCCTCTCGGCAATGCCAGTACGCTACTTATTCTATCGTCGAGTACACACTCGAGGTTCACAAAAAATGCGGGAGCGGTATGTACACGCGAACGATCCTCAAAGAGAAATCTTAAAAAGAGCCGACCCTGCTACCCCTCGTCTCCTATCGAATCAATCATTTCCAGGCTCGCGAACTCCTACACCTACGACAATTGTCTGGCATCGATACTTGCTGGATTTCCGATCTCTCCTTTCTATTCAAATTCCATGTTGCGCCGATGTTTCGGCCGACCGTAACGAGAAGCGAAGAATATTCGTTGGAGAAGACAGTGCAAGCACGAAACGTAGGAAACTCTTAAACGCCACAGGATCCGATTTGCTGGCTAGCGAAAGACCAGCCAGCAGGTCGGGGTTGCGAAAGTGGAATAACGTTTCACGGGTTCTCAGGCGGGTGCTGCAGAGTCAATTGACACGATTCACAGTAATTTTAGTCAGTGGTTAGAAGCGAGGTCGGTCAGATTATACGTGCCGGGTCGCGTACACGGTGCTGCTGAAACGAATCATAATGTATCCTCATCGGTCGAGGGGGAGGGTCGCGCTGTGATTGGTCCGCTGCGGTATTCCTCGCTGCCAGATAAAGTTACCGTAATATGGATTAACTGGCCGCTACAGCCCATATTCCGATCCGACGCTCGCATTCGACTGCAACGTAGTAATGAACTGGTAACCGGTGCTATTATCAACCGCACCGAATCCCGCACGGTGTCTTTTAATAACGCGATGTTCGCATAAACGCGTAAACGATGTATTGGCTGATCGATCAAGCAGCGTAACGCGAATACATCGTTCTACCGGTTGGAAATCCATCGTCTCGATCCCCGTTCCATCTCGTGTAACCCGGTTAATTCGACGCTCGTTGGCTAACGGAAACGACCATATTCGCGAGACAAAGATGACTTTCCTACAGATAACGTGTATCTATGCACGATTTCTTGTCTCGTTGGTCGATAAGGTTCCTTACAAATACTGCCATTCTATCCGTTTCAATCGTGGCATGCCTATACGATGCGTACACGTAGATTCTGGTCGCGTACGTGGGAGAGGCACGTGAATTTCGTCGTTAAAACGATTCAACCGTGCCGAAAAAGTTTCGTGCCCGTCGCGAGCGGATGCCGAGCGATCGATCGACGTCGTTGCACTCATTTATCGTCAAGAGCCGTGATCTGCATTTTGCAGCGATTAACATCTTGCGGTCGTACCACGAGCAGCTAATCGCGAATTACCGTTCGCGAATACCATCGAGCGTCGACGTTTTAATTTTCGTTATTAAAAATCAATTTTCGTCCACCGATCGATGCTTCGCGGAAATCGTTATCTCTTTCGCGTTACGTGAACGGGCAAATTTTTGATATCTTTCCAAATCGTTGGACCGGTCACGCGAAAACCATCGACGAACAACGATATTTCATACTGGTACGACGATGAATCGTGTACTTCGTGAGTGGCATTGACGATCGTCCGAGTACTGACTTTTAGTTGGAAAAAAAAACATAAAATATCTGCGAGCTTTTCGAACATCGTAAATCAAGCGTTGGTTAGCGCGGCGCCAGCGGGGACACGACGCGTTTGAAAATCAAAATCGTAGCCTCGACAAGCGGAGTACACTCGAGCTGAAAATCTGCCACCTACCTCGACGAGCGTTACTCGTTACGGATAAAAGGGAAATCGTTTGTGTTCCCTTCGATGTTCTAATCTTCGACCGATTGATTGTAACGAGGAAACATTGGCGCGAAATTCGTGGAAACGTCGATACTCCGAATAAAGGGAAACGACGGTTCGTAATCGCGGAAATGAAACTACCCGTCGATAATGTTATTTCGTTGCTTAATCATGGGAGCATCGACTCGCGCGGATCTACTTTGCAGCGTCGAAAATCTCGTAACAAATTATCATGAAAGTTTTAACGATCGTTTCGCGAACATTACACGAGTGGAGCCGCGATGAAAGGGTTAAAACGAGCCACTCTCGGAGAGCAGCGTAAAGAGGATTTAATTGGCAGGTAATTGGCTAACGATATTGCCGTATCTCTCGAAGCCTGGACCAAATAAAAGTAAGCAGTAGCGAGCCGTGGAATCGCGATAAACAACCGTGGAAAATGCCGCGTCAGCAAAGAGAAGGGAAAAGTCTCTCTCCCTCTGTCTCGTCGCGATATGCCCCCATAACGGCAATATGCATTTCCCGGTGATTACGATTTCGACTCTGCATCGTGGTGGTTTTCCCTGCTGTAGAATTAGCAGAAATTCTGGCTCGGCGAGCAAAACAGTACCGTTGCCGCAACACCACTGGCGTATTAATAACACGTGCTTCGTGTAATTTCAATTTTATGTCACGACTCCCGTTCCACCGATATTGGAAAATAATATACGAACGAGATGCGTAATTACCTAATCGGTTAGGCTAGCAGAGATGTTTACGAGACTGGCGTCTTATGCTCGCGTTTTCATCGGCAAAATTATTCGAGACGAGATTAACCCCTCGCGTGTTGTCGGATACGATTCCAAATAAACGGCAATAGACGAAAAAAGAAAAAAGAACGCGTTTCAGTTGCCGAAAGTTGTCGAAACGAGAAAGAATACTACGTAAGTACATGCATAGACGGCGAAACGTTTAGCGAGTAGGCTCTAGTCTATCGCTCGATCCTCTCGAGTCACGAAGCTTTTTACACGGCAAGCACGCTATGTGTCACGAGGCATGCGATGAAACGATGCACTCGCTTCGTAGCAATTTATTTCGCTAAAATATCCCGGCATCGCTAGAAAGAATGATGGATGTTGGGCCGCGACTACGAAACGCGCGGAGTACCGTTAAGGTCGAGTGGCTCGAATGTGGGCCACTTTGTACCCTTTCGCGACTTCTACCTCCTCTCCTCGATGTACCACGGCCTTGACAACGGCGCATCGTATCAGGAAAATCTTTAGCGACCTCTCGAATCCAAGATTATCGATCGATCGTTATTCTCTCGGCGCGTTCAGACACTTTAATCGGTCACGCTCCAACCAGTCTCCCTTTCGCGCGACAAGCAACGGAAACGAAACGCGAAATAGGCATACGATTTACGAGTGAATTTTTTTGTAACAAACAAAATCGTTCGTTCATAATTCGTTTATAACATCGAAGTCGCAACGCCGATGACCACCGGTGTGCCCCACACACGTCGAGACGCCGAGTCGTCGGCTCGACGAGTAGCAACACGAATATCACGGACCTCACAGCCTTTCCACGAACTTCGATTTAATCATTTAAACGGGACACACTCCGCGACGGTCGATAACTTTACGTATTCTTTCCTGGTATCGATACGAGGAGAGGTTATGTCACTGATTAGGGTTTACAGTCACCGGGTTGCACACACGGCTCCTCTACGAGCGAACCAATACCGAGTGGGGAAAAGGTCCATGACCCTGCACCCCGTGCAACTTCCGTTCTACATCCCCGTTCGACTACGTTACGACCGTTACGCGAGAAAATGGAAGACTAAAAATATACTTTTCCATGTCACCGAATTGACCTATAAACCGTTTTTTTTTTCTCAGTTAGAAAAATTTTCTTCTTATTTTAGCGAATCGTATCGTCGCGAGTGCCGTTTTCGCTCGATCGATAAAACGAGAATAAAGCTCTCTAAATAAAGAAGCAAGGGGAACAAGTCATACTCGATCGTTTGCGTCGTTTACTCTTTTAGTCTCCGTTACAGGCAAACGTTAAATAGATCGCCGATTCAATCTCGCACTTCGCGCATAGGAGATCGAAAGAATAATGTACTTACCGAGCTGGACATACATCTTCGGCCTGATGTTTTCCTGCCACGCTGCGAGGACGAGGGTAACGGTGGCGACGACGCACCAACAGGATAACACCGGGTGCATCCTCGTATCCAAGATGGTACGCCTCATCTTCTCTCGGTTGATTCGAACAACGCCGAAAACGTGCCAGGATTCGTAGTCTCCTCCGAGAACGGATCACGCAAAGAAAGAACCTCGGTAACTCACGGATATCGCACCAATCACCGACACTCTTTATTTCTTTTTTTTTTTTACTCCTCGTCAAACACAGACTTTGACGCGTAAACGGAAGGAGAAAGGACGTGTTTCTACCACACTCTCTTTTCCCTCCCTTTCTCTCCACTCACTGCAGCAGAACGTGCGAGGGTGCCGCAGTCACGTGCAGCGTGTTCCTCGTCGTTGTCGCAGTCGTTGTCCTCCAACTTTGCTCACGCATGTTTCCTTGCGGACAACCGGCTTCCTGACCGCGCACATCCACGAGACCGAAGGTGGTGTACGAGCACGCACTTCGACGTGTTCGAAAACCGGTGAAATGAAGCGGAAGAAAAGCGTCGAAGGATGGAGACGAGAGAGAAAGCGCGTGCGTGTACGCGTATATGCGAAATAGGCAGGACAACGACTGGGCGAACACACGTACGTATGTATGTAGAAACGCGCGCGCGTGCGTGTGTGTGTGTGTGTATGTATGTATGTGTGTGTCTCTCTCTCTTTCTCGATACACCGTACCAGTCTCACTCCTTCATCGACGGGACACGTACAAGACACGACCCGCACCAACGACGGTCGCCGTCACACTGACAACGCGCAGCGCCTCGACAGGTGACGCGCGGCCCCCCACCACGATGCGCGAGTCG